ATTTTTTTTCATTATAGTACCAAAGTGTTCTATTCTAAATATTTTTTCTATCAATTTTATTCGTCATCAAATTCAATATTACGGATTTTTTTTTTCGTGCGACCATAAATTTTAAGATTGTGCCAGAATCAGAATCAGTTTATTCGCTCAAACCATACAGCATGGTACATGAGGAACATAAAGTATATACAATGTCTATAATGTCGTCAGAGGTACATTAGTATAAATATACACACATATAAATAATTAATATAAATATATATACGTAAATAAATGTTTTACAACTGCATGAAGAGAGGATGTACATATAGTACATGTAATAATAAAGTATATGCAAAAAGAAAATACCAGGAGGACAGCTAAGAAGGACGGACAGTCTCAAATATTTTTGAAATAAATGTACATAGTTTTTGTAAAGATTGTATATTTGAATTGGCCATGAGTTCATAAAACTTGACAACATTTGGTCTGGTGCAGTAACTTTTGTGTAAAAATTTTTTTCTTATCTCTGAAAAAGCTGTACACTCTAAAATGTAGTGGTATTCATCGCCTATCTTTCCATTGTTACAAACTAAACATACTCTATCATTTAATGGGGTGCCACACCACCTCCCTGTTTCGACAGGTAGATGATGATTTGAGGTACGAATTTTCATCAATAGCTTTCTTTGTTTTGGGCGTAAATTTTTAATGTAGCTTTCAAATCCGAAATTGGTTTTAAAAATTCTGTAAATCTGGCCTTTGGAAGAACTATTTATGTCATTTGACCATTTTTGAATGAACTGGTCTTTTAAATTCTGATTTACAATAGCACTTAGCCATTTAGCATTGACAACACCTTGCTCATTCCATATAAATGAAAGTCCACAATTATTTAGAATTTTTTGAATACATTCAATCCATTGACATTTAATACCATCGTTACTTAATTGGTTATACATATACTTGTACACAATATTGACAATTTTATCTTCTGCGCATGTAAACATCTTTGACCAGTAAGTAATCATTCTCGTAAAAACATTGATGTACAAAGGGAATCTTCCAGTTTCTCCGTAAATCATGTAATTTGGTGTAGAACTTTTCAAATTAAATATAGTTTTTAAGAATTTTAAATGAACACGTTCAATTATTTCCATATTTTCATAGCCCCATATCTCACATCCGTAGAGTAAGATGGGTGTGACTACTTTATCAAACAAGTCAAGCTGACATTCGATCGGTAAATTAAATTGTCTAATTTTTCTTATCACCCCGTACATTGCTTTCTGTGCTTGCTCACAAAGATGTTTCTTCGCTTTACAGTATGAACCTGTTCTTGATAATACAATTCCTAGATATTTAAATTCTTTTACATTTTCAATATTTTGGGTATTGTAATAAAATTTCCTCTTTAACATTGCCCCTTTGGAGAAAACCATGACTTTTGTCTTATCAACGTTCACATTAAGTTTCCATTGAGTACAATAAGTATAGAATTCATTCAATGCCTTTTGTAAATCATCAGCAGATTCTGCCAAAATAACAGTGCCAAAGTAGCGAGTACATGTACAGTGTAGGTACCGTAGTTTGTTTATTGAAAACACCGGTAGCCGCAGACGAAGAACAATAGGTAATTAGTGCCCATTGTTACGCTGACCACTACAATTCACATGGAATATACAAGTTGTACCCTGTTCTACCCCGGAGCTGAAGACATGTACACAATACTGCCAAATCACAGGTCGATCAACGATTTCTGATCAATTGAAATCAATTTAAAGGTGTTTTTCTTTCAACTTTTTACCATGCAAAATTAAAATCGATCAATTTGATCATATACTAATCGTAACATATTAAATTAAGTCTCATTTCAGTTCTTACTTCTCATTCCATAAAATCAAATAAAAAAAATTAATGAGATTTCAAAACTGATTAAATAAAAAATTATTTTGTATTTAAATTCTAAGAGACAAACTAAACAAATGTACCTTTGTACTAGGAATTCTTAGCCTCTAATTTTTAATCAGCTCGCCCCATTTCCCGGTTGCACATGCATACAGTGTGTACTTGTACATACCGGTATGTACATGTGGAGGAGTTTAATTCTTGGACGATCTACAAACGTCTACATAACATTAAAATAAATGAATAAATGAATAAACAATTAATTAAAATCAGTGCCCACAGATCGAACATATTCAAACCTGTTTTCACCTCCTAGTTACTTTTTAAAAGGAATAAAATTTCTAATTTTCGAGCAAATTTTCAAATATTTCGACAAAAAGAGACCAGAAAACTGACCATTTAACAAGATAAATATAATTGTTTTCGAGAAAAAAAGGCCTTCAAAAAAAATTGTTGTCCAAACTCGACCAGTTGACCTAGTGAAAACGGAACAAATCCAACTTTTCTTACCTGCAGGAAACTTTTTTTATCCCGATTTTTTTTTCATCCGTTAAGAACTTTTTTCTTATTATTGAAAAAAAAGATCACCGATCTCCCTACAGAATTTTCTTGGAGTCGGGAAAGGCGGCGATAGATCTTTTTTAAGATAGCGTAATTTTCCTTTTATTTACAGTTTATTTTTCAATAAGATCTTATGCAAAAGTAAAATTCCATTTTTTTTCTGCAGTTATTTTTTTTTTATTAATTCTATTTCTTTATATTCATTCTATTAATGATTCATTTGATTATTGTCAAAATTTTCACAAAGTTAACGTAATGTAGAAATTGAGATCAGCATACATACATACAGTCATGTAATTTTGTCACAAGCAGAACATTTAAAGAAATATGAAAATTTTGTCATGATAATTCAAGTAAAAGAAAGTAATAATTGAAGGTTTTCATAGCCGACTGTTTTATTTTAAACCAATTACCAGGTTAAAAACAATGACCACAGTAATTATCAGTAAATCTCAGCATCGACAGTACCTCAACAGTAATTATCAGTAATTCTCAGCAGCGATAGTACCTCAACAGTATTTATCAGTATTTATCAGACTCAACAGTAAAAGGCAACAGTAATTATCAGTATTTATCAGAAACAACAAAAAATATCAGCAACAACAGTAATAATAACAGTAAATATCAGTATTTATCAGAAACAACAGCACAGTATCAGTAATTATCAAACTTTATCAGTAAAATTTGGGATTCTCAGCACTTTTTTCGTCCAGTAGTGATAACAATAAACTCCAATGATTGCAGAGTCTATGAAGGAAGATGCTAATTACTGCAGAAACCCCGACCTGTCATCTGGGCCCTGGTGTTACGTACAGGGAGAAGGGGGTCCAAAAAAGGAATATTGTGAAATAAAATCATGTGGTAATAAAGTAATATATAAGGTCTTAATTGATAACAAATCCAAGAAAAAAAATTATATAAATATACTTGACGTTTCCTTTTGTATTTGTATATCGCGTACGTATCTGATTCTAGCATTATATTGAAACTGGTTTATTATGAAACCCATCACCAATTTTGGTTTCCTGCAGCGGATTCACCGTGTTTTCCCAATCCCTGTAAGAACAGAGGCCATTGTGAGGTGAACGGAACATCCTATAACTGTACCTGTCTGGAGGGATTCAAAGGAACTAAATGTGAAATACAAGGTGAAATAACACTTTATCTACGAATACATATCCCATATATTTGAAACCTTTTTAAAATATCTCAAACTTAAGAGAGAATACTCGGTTTCTCATTTCAAGATTAGCTATGCCTATTCGAATGTCAATTAAGTCAGTTTTACACTCCGTGGATTCTATATATTTAGATATTTTTCTAAATTTGAGATACCTTTTACTTCACATTTGAGAGTGATTTTCACTCGGTTTCCATATTTAGTACATACAATTAAATTTTAATTGATGTTTACTCCTCAGATCTACAGCAGGAGGCTGATTGTAAAAGAACTAGCACAGGATGGGATTATCGCGGGATGATTAACGTGACAAAATCTGGGAGGATCTGCCAGGCGTGGGCGTCCCAGACTCCCCATGCACATTCCATTGGGACGACCAGAGCTGAGAACTACTGTAGAAATCCCGATAAAGAACCAGCGCCCTGGTGCTATACCACGGACCCAAACAAACGCTACGAGCTCTGTGATGTTCCAGATTGTGGTAGTTATTTTTTTCTTTCTACGAATATGCCATTCACGGTAGCCTAGCGGTAAAGCGTTCGCTTCGTGATCGGGAGGCCCGGGTTCGATTCTTGTTCCCGGTGCCGCGTCAAACCTAAGACTTAAAAATAGGTAGTGACTGTTCCTTCGCCAAGCGCTAGGCATCGGAAGTAAAAGTCACGGGTCTTTCGGATATGACCTTAAAAACATAGGTCCCGTGTCACGATAGGCGCTGGCACGATAAAGAACCCTTACTGACCAATGGCCCTGAGTGCCGAGTACAGGTCTAAATTTGAAGCCCTTCACCGGCATACGGTAACTTCTCCGTATGGGTGAACAATTCCTGAGTGGGACGTTAAACAATATACAATCAATCAATCTTCTATCTACGTATATCTGATAGTTTTATGATTTGAAAGGGACTGGGTGACAGATAGGAAGATTTCATTTCTCCGTCATATTCCAGATCGTGGGAATAGGTTTTTTTTGGTCTGCGAACAAGTGATTTAAAGGGGGCATGATTGATAGAACTGTTTCCAGTGGAGGGCTACAAACTTTGTCCTATACTCGCCAATCAAGGCCATTGAACATAGAAGGTTCTTTTCCGTGCAAGCACGTACTGCGACATTGGTCCTCGGTTTATATGGTCTCATCCGGAGGACCATTCTCCACGACCAGCAGTGGAATTCGAACCTGTGACGTAAGGATTTTCTCCTTACTCCGCGACTCTAGATCACACGCTCTAACCACTGTGCCACGCTGGTAACCAGTTGAATAGAAAGACAGAATTAAGTTCAATTACAATAGTAAATATGCTGTACTCAATCATCATTATGTGTGAAACAAATTTAATTCAAATAATTGTTCTGTTCACAGCGACTCCAGCACTAGAATGCCTCCCTACCTCGGATCCTAAAGGTGAACGCTACTTCGGTAGACATAATGTTGCAGATACTGGAGACTTATGTCAAGCCCGCCCCCTGGTGTTACACCGTCAACCCTAAAGTTCGATGGAGCACCTGTTATATTCCTTATTGTTGATGTAGCACCTGTAAAATTCCTTATTGTTGATGCAACACCTGTAATATTCCTTACCTGTCATATTCCTTACTGTTGACACAGCACCTGTAATATTCCTGACTTGTAATATTTCTTAATGTTGGCGGAGTACCTGTAATATTCCTTACTGTTCATATTAAGGACGTGTTAATATGAACAATTAGTTTGTTTAACAAAGTGCTGTACTTTTCCTTCGTTGATTTGCATACATACGATTTTCATGTTAACCTTTAACCTTCGTTGATTTACATACATACGATTTTTGTGTTAACCTTTAACCTTCGTTGAATTGCATACATACGATTTTCATGTTAACCTTCAACCTACGTTGATTTACATACATACGATCGTCATGTTAACCTTTAACCTTCATTGATTTGCATATAACGATTTTCATGTTAACCTTTGACCTTCGTTGATTTACATACATGCGATTTTCATGTTAACCTTCTGCAATTTTTTGAACTGCAGAACAAATAAGCTTGACATTGCAACACTAACATCGTATGCTAAAATCAAACAGTTTTGAAAGAAAGTGAATGTATCTCGCACGCTTGTGCAATGTAATTATATTTTATCTCAATTAAAATTATATAGTACACTTGTTTAGTATGAATCATACGCTTGTACAATGTATTTATATTTTATCTCTATTAAATTTATACAGTAAACGTGTTAACTATGAATCTAGTTTAACGTTTGTACAATGTATTTAAATCAGAGTAGAAGATTATATGCATTTTCACTTTATAATCAACAGAGCCCAAACCTTACGCCAGAACCCCTATCCCCGGAGGTTATGAAATTCACAATTTTGGAAAAGGCGGCTTAATTTAACATAACCATGTATTTGGTTGGTTTATTAACTCCCCAAAATTTATAAGCCTTGGGGCGCTCGTGAAATACGTTTGGGGTGCTCGTGATTTATTTTGGGGCGCTCATATTTGTCCTTGGGCGCCGGTAAAAAACTTTAAGGCGCTCGTGATTTTATTTTGGGGCGCTTATATTTGTGATTGGGCGTCGGGGAAAAACTTTGGGGCGTTCATGCATGAGGCGCTCTGGTTTTGGGGCAAAACGACTGTAACCCCCTACACTAGCACTGGATCCTCTGACCCTGGGCCATAAATTTCACAATTTCGGTCGAAAAATTAACGCTGTTTCAATCATGCAATCATTTTGACTGCTTGGTGTATAGAAGATGTTTAAAATTGCATAGATTTCATTGGTTTTGGCCCCACCCCGCCTCAGGCCCCAGAAGGGGGGGGGGCATGAAATTCACAATTGCTGCCCCCCTTCAACCATAGATGTTTTGAGCCAACATTAGTTTAGCGGAATGCAGAGAAGTTGAAAATTATTGAATGTTAACGAACTTACGGACCCAAAAGGCACAAATAGAAAGGCAGTGGTCAACATAAGGCTTATAGTTACTTGGAAATGAGACCTACGCCAAAAATGATAAACCTGCTCCAAAAACATTGACCTGGTCATTTCAGCATCTGAAACCTTGGCAGGTACAATGATACACACTAGAAGCATCTTCCATGCATGTATAACAATATAGGACAAATAAGTACTTAAAAAGAACATTTCTCCTAAAAGCCTTAACCTGGGACGACGACGCCGAGGGTATCACATAGCTCCCCGAACTTTGCTGAGGTGAGAGAAAATGGAAATTTGCTTTTACAGTAAGACAACACCACGTTTTCATTAAATGTGCTTTTTTTTTCTTTAATATATATATATCAATCAAAACAAACACTTAATATAAATCTCAGACTTATGACTTATGACTTTCAACGAAGACGTTTCGTTCCAAAGTGATGGTAGAATTTTTTTTAGTTTTGGGGACTTTTAAATCTTTGTTATCTCATGTGCTTCGAAATGTTTCAAAACACTAGAACTATTCACTTTACACTGAATTAACGACGGATTTTTTCCGCTATTGCCTGATCATGACAACGAGCATACGGTGGGTGTGACCGATCGGGAAGGAATGCTCACTCCTCCATGGCACCTGATCCCACCTCTGATGTTTCGAAGATCCATATTTGCTCTGCTCTGATTTTGTATATTGTTTAATGATATTCAATTCTAACAAATGTTTACCGGTAATCATATAATTGCAATTTAAAGAATTATTTTAAAAAATTCTAGATGCCGTGAACGACAGAGAGAGAATGGGGTTAACTGACTCGAAGAAGAAAAATCTCGAAAGTATTGACTAGAAACGAGAGAGAAAAGCTACGACATTATTGGAGAGTAAAACCAAAAGATTCTCGAGAGAGAAGGAATCCACAGAAAGCTAGGAGACTTATTGTTCACAGAACAATAAGAGGTCTTTCCATCCTCTTGAATTTCAAATTTGTTTTATATCTGACTCATTAAAATTAATTTCCATGAAAAAGAAACCAAAATTGTCTTAAAACATAGAAAAATAAAATAAAAACAAAAATAGGTAGACCTTGACCTTTGACCTTGAGAAAGTTTTCAAGGTCAAAGGTCAAGGGTCACAATGCAAATGTCCCCATGCTTCTACGGCTTATAATTTTCAAGTTATAAGGTTTAATAGTAAGTACAGAGAAGTTAAAGGGCAATAACTCATATAAGGGGTCATCAGATCCTTTTGCAATTATATAGTGAAGTTAGGACTAGAGTCCCTGAAGACATTAGTGAAGATTTGGTGTCTCTTCAGTCTACGGTTTCGGAGAAGTAGCGATAACAAGGTTTTTCGCACAAGGGGCAATAACTTTTAAAAGGGTTAATATTAGGGAACAAGAGTGAAACCTTTGAAACAGTTTTAAGAGTACATATCAATGATGCATAGACATTAAGTATATGTTAAAAGACATAAGAGATATAAAAAGAGCTAAATTTTCCATTTTTGGAATGACTTTGACCTTTGAACTTTATATGAATTTGAAGGTCAAAGGTCAATGAGTCATATGCAGTTGGTCCCATGTCTCTAGGACTTGTCGTTTTGAAAATTTTTAATTATTCGTAAAACTAAAAGAGTTTCAGGGGCAATTACTCATTCAAGGGGTCACTAAATGCTTTCGCAATGATAGTTTGAAAAAACCCCTTAATGAATCGAACACATTGGTCAAGGTTTCATATCTCTACGGTTTACGGTTTTAGAGGAGTAACACTTACAAGCATTTCTTGCGAAAGGGGCAATAACTTCGAAAGGGGTCAAGGTTCATTTAAGCAGGGTGAACTGCAATCATCTTTTACGGAGTTCATTCTTATGGACTATAAATTTTTTCGATAAATCTTCAAACAAATAAACATGCGGCGGAAAAATAATAAAATAAACTAGGAGATTTATTGTTCACAGAACAATAAGAGGTCTTTCCACCTTCTTTGAATTTCAAATTTGTTTTATATCTGACTCCTAAAAATCAAATTACATGAAAAAGAAACCAAAACTCTCTTAAAGCATAGAAAAAATGAAAAAAAAATGACCTTGACCTTTGACCCTGACAAAATATTCAAGGACAAAGGTCAAGGGTCACAATGCAGTTGACACCATGCTTCTACCCCTTATAGTTTTCAAGCTATAAGGTTTAATATTAAGTACACAGACGTAAAAGGGCGATAACTCATATAGGGGGTCATCAGATCCTTTTGCACTTATACAGTGAAGTTATGCCTAAAGACCTTTAAGACATTAGTGAAGGTTTGGTGTCTCTACGCTTTACGGTTTCGGAGGAGTAGCGATAACAAGGTTTTTCGCACAAGGGGCAATAACTTTTTTAAGCGTTAATCTTAGGGGACAAGAATTGAATACTTGAAATAGTTTTAAGAGTACATATTAATGATGCATAGACATTGAGTATATGTTGAAAGACAAAAGAGATATAAAAAGAACTTAATTTCTCCTTTGTGGAATGACCTTGACCTTTGACTTTGGCGGTCAAATGTCAATGAATCTTATGCAGTTAGTCTGATGTCTCTACAACTTCTCGTTTTAAAAATTTTTAATTATTTGTAAAATTTGAAAAGTTTCAGGGGCAATAATTCATTGAAGGGGTTTACAAATCCTTTTGTAATGTTAGAGTGAAGAGTCTTCTTTATTAGTCAAAGACATTGGTAAAGGTTTCAAACCTCTGCGTTTTACGGTTTCGGAGGAGTAGTGATAACAAGCTTTAAAGTGAAAGGGGCAATAACTTCAAAAGGGATCAAAGCTCAAACTTCTTGGGTCGTTTTTCGGAATAAATTTAAATATCCAGTATCATGAACTATTAAGTTTTTAGATAAGTCTTGCGGTTTCAAAAGTTAAGGGAAGAAAAAGAATAATAAACATAAGCATTTCAAGAGGTCTTTCCACAGAAAGGTGGAAAGACCTAATAAAAAAGAATAATTATAAACAGAAGAATATCAATAGGTCTTTCCACAGAAAGGTGGAAAGACCTAATTAGAAGAAAGAAGGAAAATGGCAGAGAGAGGCAAAGGAAGAAAAGATTAAATATTAAACTGAGAGCTATGGGAAAAAATATTGAAAAGTCTCCACCAAATAAAATCAAATTTAAACTAGAGGTACTGTGAGCAATGAGCTCACTACATAATACCCCCGCATCCCAAAATGTATGTGTTGATATGTATTGTTTTACGGTAATGTGTAAAAAGGAATAACTCGTCCTTTCAATTTTTTCAGAAGCTTCTATATGTAAATTAATAGGTAAACATATAATGGCAATATCCATGTTTTGCTCTGGAAAACTTAAAATTTGTGTCGAATAAAAAATTAAAATAGGAGGTGCACAATGGCAATTTGTAATAAATATTATGTGAAAATTTCATTTAATTTCACTCAGTAGTATAAGAGGAGTTGCGGATAAGAGAAAAAGCGTAACAGACGGAAGGACGGACGGAAATCCCGATTACTATATACCCTCCCACTTTTCAAGCGGGGGTATAAAAAGAATTATTGACAACATTAAAGATAATGCAATAGCAAGAAAAAAAGCTAGACTCTTTAAAAAATCACGCTTAAACAAATATGATAGGAATCAGTCAGTCCTACTTGAGCAAATTTTCTAGAACTGAAGAAAGCCATACAAGGAAGACAAAGAAAGACAAAACCTCAGCTGAGATTACAAAAACAAGAGGCCCAGGGGCCACAGCGCTCACCTGAGCACATCGGGCTTGAATTTACTCCTCCCCCCCTCCAGGCATTCATCATTTGAACAAACTAGAATCTACACTACCTGAGGACGATTCCATATAAATATCACTAATCATAGCTTTGAAGTACTTGAAAAGAAGATTTTAAAAGATTTCCCTATATATCCGTATGTAAAACTTGGGTCGGCCATTTTGGCCCCACCCTAGCCCCGGGGGTCATGATTGGAACAAACTTGAATCTACACTACCTGAGGATGATTCCACATGAGTTTCATCTTTCCTGGCCCAGTGGTTCTTGAGAAGGATTTTTAAAGATATTTCCTATATATTCCTACGTAAAACTTGGGTCGGCCATTTTTGGCCCCACCCTTGCCCCGGGGGTCATGCTTTGAACAAACTTGAATCTACACTACCTGAGGATGATTCCACATGAGTTTCATCTTTCCTGGCCTAGTGGTTCTGGAGAAGAAGATTTTTAAAGTTTTTTCCTATATATTCCTATGTAAAACTTGGGTCGGCCATTTTGGCCCAACCCTTGTC